AAAATGTCTTATGTGCAAACCTGGATTTGAACTCAGGTCCTCTGCATCCGAGTTATCCATCCATTTGACTTTTGAATGTTGACTATACTCCTCAGAACTAGGGATGCAGCGATACCACTTTTTTCCAAACCGATACGATACCGATACTTGGATCTGAGTACTTCCCGATTACCGATACTTCTACCACATACCAGTATCGGTATCGGTGCATCCCTACTCAGAACCTGAGGGGGCAGGGCCGAGTAGACTTTGGGCTCCACCCACTGGGGTTGCGACATCATAAACCCAGTCAGTTTTAGGCATCTGCTGCTGATTCAGCAGTTTGAATGCAGAAATACTCAGAAATACAATTTTGAGCTTAAATTTCTTTAGATGTGCCCTGTAGTATAACAAAAAGGCCTCAAAAGTATGTCAAAAACAGAAAAAACACGATTTTCGTTGGAGTGGGTCTTCAGATTGAAGCAGCGCAGTCGTGTCTCATTGGTTACTTTGAGGAGGAACTTTGACCATTTCTTAACGATGCCGCTTCCCTTCGCCGAGGTCTGCAGACATTCATTCATGTTCTGATGGATCATTACAACAGGATTGTTCTATTCTCAGCTCTTCTGCAGGATTTGGGCTTTTTAACTCGTGGCACAAAAGAGTCTGGATCGAGCTTTAGCTCGTTCCACCACCTCCAGGTGGCGGTTGGTGTGAGGCATTCACGGCCAACCATCTCGTGGTTTGGTCAGATGCAGTTTTGTTTTAAGTAGCCAGGATGAGTCGGCAGGTTTTAGATCTGAAGTCTCGACTCCATGACGCTGAATAAAGGATGTGCGGATTCTTTGTAAAGTAGGGATGGGTACCTTTGTCATTTGAATCGATTCGGTACTAATTCACGGTACCTAGGAATCGATACCGGTACTTAACGGTACCAATTTGAGATACTTTTGAGTGTTTAATATTTTAATTCTCTTTTATAATTAAATATATATTTTTCTCAATATATAACCATATTTGATAAATATCACGATAAATAACATACAACTGTTTGTATTTTAACATCGTCCTTGTAGTTATATAAGCTGATAATTAAACTGAAGCAAACATCTTTACTGTGAACTAAATTTACTGTGTATCTTCATTCCTTTTGCCGTCTTTTTTCATTTGATTTTTCCTACTGGGAAGTTAGAATTTCCGAGGAGAAAGCGAACGCACCATTAGCTGATAACAATGGTGGCAATGGAAGCTAACATATTAAGCTAATGTTATCTTAAACAGTTTATTTAGCTACTGGAGCAGATTAAAACGATGATGCCTCACACTTAGATCGTTGTCGCTGGTTTCATCATCACCCAATCAGCCGTCGCATTTA